TTCCTGTAAAACTTTTTAATATTTAATCATATATTTTTCTAGGCTTGAAGAACATGAATGGGACCAGGACAAATTCTTTTTCCAATTCCTTGGCCTGCAGTTTTTATGACAGAATCACCTATCATTTCCAAATACTGTGTGGCAGTGAGCACCATCACAACCTCTGACATTCTTTTAAAGACTGAAAAATATTTTTGTGCTGTGCTAGCTGTTGCTAATAATAATATTTATTGATCATCAGTATTACTACATTTGCCATATATTTTACCAGTATATGTGAACCATGCACCATAGGTAAGGTATGCTAAGTTTAGCTTTTGCATACATGACATGCCTTGTAGACAGAAATTTACACTTATAAAAATAAATTCAAATGCAAGTATGGATTGGTACAGGACTTACTGGGTATCGGTGAAAAAAACTGCTGACCCAAGGTAAATTTATAAAATAATATTATTATTAATATTGAAAAGGAGTTAAACTTATACATACTGTTTTTAAAAGGAGTGGTGCGTTTGTTGGTTAACTGTATGTACTGATTAATAAGTGTAAAATAATCGCCATATTGATGTGTTGCTAAAATAAAAAAAATTATTTGCCACAAATAAACGTGTATTACATGTATGAAAATAAAATATAGCAAATTGAATTGATGTATCTTTTGGTTTGTCTTTTCGTTTTTTCATAAAAAAAGAACTCTTATTGGTTGGCCTCATATAATAAATAAATGCTTTTTATAAAGAAAAAATATGAAATGTTTATTTTCCTCCATTCTTCCTGTGCCAGCTTCATTGGACTATATAGACAATTATGAGCGGCGGAAAAACCAAAACGAGGTCAGAATGGCAACAGAATGTACTGAGTCAAAACGAGGCTGGTACACGGTTGTTGCAAGGAAGACATTTTTTGCATACACGGGTGTGAATTGATTTGTGCCATTCATGGATGAAGGTAAAGTTCCTTACATGCTTACATTTACAGAAAGCTGAATAAATTTGCCACAGCTTACTGGTAATTTGAAATTGGAACCTGTTCTCTAAGAATGCAAGCATTAGAGTCAAAGTTGAACTTCCGCTGTAGCTTAAGTAAAATATTTGGTTTCAAACTCGTTTTTTTCCACAAAATAGGGTTTAAATCAACTCGAGGAGCATCTGACATGATTTGCAATTTACTTTTAAAAATGATAATATACATAACAAAACTTTTATATCCTTAAAGGCCGAGATATTCCACCGTTTCTGACACCCTACAAATCTCAAATAATTTCACCCAATTCAAATTTTTGAACTTCCGGTTTGGTTAAAAGCCACCTAGCGGCAGACCGGTGGCTCCCAGGCTGTAGTGTCAAGTTAGCTCTGAAGCTCAGGGTGGGTGGCAAGGACTGTGGGAAAAATTCTAGAAAATGTATCTAATGTGAATGATTATAGCAATCAGATACCGTTAAGCAGTATTGCAGCAATTAAGGCACTATAATTAGTCACCAAATAACAAAACAAAATTATGTAAGTTAATGTATTTAGCAATAACTATTTTTCAAAATTCCATCTAGTAATAAAATATTCATACTCTCCAAATAGTACCACAGCTGTAGTGGACACTAAGATTGCAGTAATGGGTCCAGATACCCTGTCAAGACACACTGGCATGGCCTCCACACATGCTGAGTTTGCTAGCACCAACGTTACCTAAAATTAAAATGGAAGTAACATAAATAAATATAAAATGTTACCATTAGAGACAATTTGGTCTTGCAAATAATAATAACATAAATTATATATATACACTGTGTGTGTGTGTGTGTGTGTGTGTGTGTGTGTAACTGAAGCCAATTTCAACATATTTAGTGAAAATATGGTAATTTAGCTGTGATAAAATTTTGATTTTTTTCTACAAATAACACCGAATCATTCAGTGTGTGTGTGTGTGTGTGTGTGTGTGTGTGTGTGTGTATATTCATGCATATGCTTGAATGCAGTGAGTGTAAAATAGTAACTTCATCTGAAAAACTGGGGAAATATACACATGTATAAGAGTCCAATATAATAATGTACTGCAGTAGCTTCCTTTTAATTCAGCCCTTGTAACATCTTTATTACCAGTAAAAGATGATGTCTTTTTACAATGGGAAGGATTCGTTTAGCATATTTCTTCTGCTGTGGGCTTCCAGCTTCCTTCAGAACATTCAGACTGATTTCATCCAGTGACAGTAGACCTATCGTCAGCCCTGACATTAAACCTATAAGAATAAGCAAAGCTGCATTAATTCATTTTGAATCTTGTAAAAAATTTTATAATTATTAGATGTATATTTACTTATCTATGCATAACATGCTAGTCTAACATACCTGAATTGCCAGTCGGTCAATTAAACTTAGAATGAGGGTTTGCTTCTTACATTTTAACAAATGAGCTACAAAACAGAGATTAAATTAATTAATGGAACATTTTTTTCCATCATGACCTAACAAGGGGGGGGGGGGNGTTGTGGCAAATTTCGTTATTGAATTTGCCAGGAAATGAGCTTTCTGCGCATGTGTATTTTCGCTACATGGAAATGCATCCACTTTGCCGTCAAATTCATCTCTAGGATTACTTTCAAATAACACAACAATTAAAGTAATAAAGAGAACGGGCGCCATCGTTTTGGATTGGTATGCCATTGATATTTGGCATGGAGATATCACCTTTTTACAATTGTGCGAAAGGCTGGCGGCCGCCGAAAAATTTCTGTGACATTCTGTACAAAGCTGCACATTTATACCAGGTTTTCTGTAGCGAAAAAAGGGACGACAAGGGCGTCGAGGTATTTGGTGGGCTGGAGGTCGGACAGGCCACCTGACAGTTTGGCTGCTTCGTGTGAGTTGAAGTAGACAAAATGGCATCGTCCGAATTGACCTTTAATAGATTTGGCAGTATTAAGCATATCTTTGCATCATTTTTTAAACATTTCTGTGAAGTGTTCAAAATGCTTTAATATTCTGAGAATACAAATAAAGACACACTGTTTGATTGATATTTGTTTTATTGATTGCTATACCAACTGAATTCATGAAATAACCTTAAATAGATTTGGTAATATGAAGTATATCTATTCATGACTTTTTTACATATCTACGAAGTATTCACAATGCTTTAATATTTTTAGAGCATGGATAAAGACATATTGTTAGTTTGATACGTGTTTCTGTGGTAAAATTTGTGTTACCAGCTGTGTACTGACAGCATTCCTTTACTTAAGTAGTATTTTTTTTTTTGGACTGTTTTTTTTTTTTTTCGCCCTCGCGCACCGATTTTGGGGTACCCAGAGGATGTCATCCATAAAAATAAAAAAGTGTGGCCCAACAGATAAAAATGAGGCTACTCAAAGAAAATGAAATAAACTTATAAAATCAAGTAATGTGAAAGTTAGAAATGTCACTCCGTCACTCAATTTAAAAAGTCATTTATACAACAGATGTCAAATACATATCTGCTTTGATCACCAACACGTTTCATTGTGAGAAATCGTTAAATTTCAATAATTTTGGCATAGCTTTTCTGAGAAGGTTTGTTGGTGGGTAGTCCTGAAAAGGACAATTTTTTTCCAACTCCCACCGTAATTGGAAAACGGCTTAGAGGACTGTCTCCATCGGCTGGGTACTCTCCCAGATGCACATCTTGACAGTCGTTGACACACGCGTCCACCTCAACATCAGGCATCCCTTCCCTGATGCAAAAATTGTGAAGCTTGCAACATGCCAGGATGATGTTGGCACTGGCCTCTGGAGAATGCATCAGGCACCCTCCTGACTTGTGAAGGCACCTGAAAGCATTGTTAAATAAAGTATTGTTGAAAGCAGATTATATCTATTTTTTTGTGAAAAATGACATGAAATATGATGATAATAACTATGATGATCCTATAGGAACAATAAATTAATTGTTAACTTTTACAATATTGTTGAAGGCAGATTGATAATAACAGTAATAATACTAGGAATGATAAAATAAATGTTTTACCTTTTAGATAGAGAAATAAATAACACATAAAGAAAGACATGCATAAAACTAAATTACATTACTAACACATTAAAGGTACATACGAACTGAGCATCGGTGGAGCGTGGATTCCCAGTAACACATGTAAACCACTTCTACTAGATTCTTATATGACTCAAATAAATTCGACATGCCAAGGGATAAACTGAATAGATTATTCGATCAGCCATAAAAGAACTTTAGACTGCTTCTTCCTTTAAATTTTTGGTTGTAAATTTAACCTACTTTCGTGACCTACTTTCCTGCCCCATTGACATACAGCTTAGAATGCCAGCAGAAAAATCCGTTCAAACATCATTTTCGGGTAAAATTAAACAATGCCTTTTTGTAATTTTTTTTTTTTTACTTCTTTAAACTATATGCTGGCATTTGGTTGGTTTTTTTGAAAAAAAATTGACTTTTGTATGCATCTTAAAAAAAAAAAAAAAAAAAAAAAAAAAAAAAACTCACCTGAAGCGGCTCTTTAGGACACCAAAAGCACGCTCAATGAGATTACGCATCTTCATATGTGCCGCATTGTATGCAGCATCCGCAGTTGATGCCACATGTAATTTTGGTGTCATCAGCCAAGGCCTCAACACATAGGCTGAATCACCGAGGATAAACCCAGGGGGCATGTCCCCTGACTCAAATGCAGTCCCCAGGCCAGACTGCCTCCATACAAAAGAATCATGTGTGCTGCCTGGAAACTGGCACACAAGATTAGTAAACCTGAAAAACAAGGCAACACTTAGTGATTTTCCTATGAAATTAATTTTTGGGGGTTCAAGTAACTTTCATTAATAGGTCAAAATTTACAGTTTTTCTACTATATTTATCATATAAAAAAAATCACAAATCAAATTGTCTGGGCTTTTAATAATAAATTGTTATTTTGTTTTAATATCTCACTGGTAAACAATTAAATCAATTCTAAGTTTTTTTCCCTAAATACTTCTTATAATAAAATACTTTGTCAGTTTTTTCTTAATGTACTGTACATGTAGATCTTTGTAAATATGAATAAAAAATACTTACAAGAGACGGGCATCACACACTGCCTGAACATTAATGGCATTAAACCCCTTCCTACACACATACAGGTATTCATCATCATGGGGAGCCAGTATGGGGACCATGGTTCCATCCAGGCATCCCAGAACTCTGGGAAACCCAGCAACCCTGAAGAACTCTTGCTGTGTTCTTCTCACATCCACTGGGTCATGTGGGAAAGACACAGCAAGTTCAGCGTCGTCTGATGCAGCGATTGCAGCTGCCACAGCAGAGATTGCCCTTGAAGCCGCCGGCTGACTGATACCGTGCAGGTCACCGATTGCTGACTGAAAGGTCCCAGTGGCAAAAAACCTTAAGGCAGTCAGAACCTGCTGCAACGGTGTCAGTGCCTTTGACCTCTTGGTTGGTCTCTCTAGGCCTCTCAACTGCACCAGTTTCTGGATCCCACGTTTGTTCAGGCGATACCTGGATACAACCTCCTCGTCAGTCAGTGAGTCCAAAGGATCGCTACGGCGCTGTGCCACCACTCTCCTTCCATTTCTTCCTCGTCCGACTAGCAGAAGATACGCAGCCATCGCTATCTTTGTTATGATATCATCGGTGCTGAATAGTACCCATAGTATGACCTACCACGCATGCGCATTTAGTTTCGACGAGCTTTCGATGAGCTTTCGACAACGCTGGGGCTGTCGAAATTTTCATTGAAAAATTCGTTAACGATTTCGATGAAAAAATTTTCGATAGCTTCCAGAATACCGATTTTTTGGATTCGATTAGGATTCGATGAAAAATTCGTTTTCGATAGCTTCGAGAATACCGCCCCTGGTTCTCCTCAGTTTACCATCACCGGACCACGTGATCGCGTAGCTCATTAACTCCAAGACCTAGCTAAAAGTGATATTTTTTGATGCTCAAAGTGTACAAAATTACTAATTTGTGTACTTTGTGTTTTTTGATAAATATTTCATTTTTAGGCATGTTTTCTGAAGAATATCCATTCAGGCCATCCTGGCGGTCTGGCGATAAACCTTTAAACCTAAAGTCGTCTTTCCAATATCGATTTGACTTACACAAATTCACCGCGAATTAATCTGGTGTTACACCCACCATGGGTCCTTTAAATGATTTTATTGAATCTTATTTTTGCTTATCATATTTCTATCTGTTCTGAATACTCTCTTTCTCTCTATTGTAATATCACAAAGGAAGGAAACAAAATCAATAAAGCACTCAATAAAAAATCAACTGAGGTCAGTTTCACCGATCTTTAACAGGGGACCGATATTGATAGAACCAGATCGATTGCTGTGTTACTGGATAAGTGCATCAACGTGAATATTTTACTCATGTTGTTAAAATGCATTGTATAAATACACTACACAGGATGAAGACTTAAGCCTTTAGTCTTACAAAACTGGAAATTACTTTGAAACGAAAAACTTACTTTATTTCGGTTCTTTTCTAATCAAAAGAGTGTTGTACGTGGTCAAAGTTGTTTCCTTCCTCCACCTGATTTGTTTTTCATGTGCCAACATAGGCCACAACAGGTGAGTGAATCAGGTCAGGAGGACACCAATGATTGTTATTATGATATCACAACTGTCATCAGTGGCGGATTTATGGAAAATCCAATAGCCCCCTCTTGAAATTAGAATTTTGGCTAGCTGAGGCATAGTTCTAAACCATCAAATGGCACCATTCGCCCTCTGAAATACCAAAAGTTTTCGGGCCCTTTAGAGGGTCCCGAACACCATGCCAAGGGAGGAATGGTCTGCTTCGCATCGGCGGACTACCCCGCTCTTCTACTCAGTAAGAAGAACCAGTGAAAACTTCACTTTTCTATTTTTCGACCATAGTGTTTTTGAAACCAGCTACTTCGCTATTTACTTTATCCATCTTCCTTTCAAAAAACATTCAACTTGGTTAACTTTATTCCCTTTCTTGATACCAATGGCCGAAAATCAGGGATCGGGCTCGTGGACTATAGTAAATTTAAAGGGTTTTAATCACAATACACAAAAAACAAATTTTGCTCACCTTCTTTCAGTTGAATGTACTTGAATGTTTCGACTTTGCCTATTTCATCTCCCACCACCAGTTGGCCAGCAGGGTTGATGGTTAATGCTACAGGATACTCAAACCCATCATCCTCAGTGACAATGTATCTGATAAACTGTCCCTGTGGACTCAGTGCCACTATCCTCCGGTTACCCATGTCAGCAAAGAATATGTGTCCGTAATTGTCTGTGCACACTCCACGTGGTAACATCAGGAGAACACCATCACTCTCTGAGCTGCCATACTGGTACAGATGATCACCAGTAGGTGACAGCACATGTACACAGTGTCCCCACCTGTCTGCTACCGCAATGTTATAATTCAAACTGTTCACTGTGATGTACACTGGGGAAACACACATATTGAGTGGAATAGTGTTAAGGAGCTGTCCACTGTCTGCATGGAATGTGAAGATGGATTTCTTTACACTGTCACAAACCATCACATGACCTTGTCTGTTCAGTGTTATACCCCATGGCCACTTCAGTAGACCCTGACCCATGGTTGTCACCTGCTGACCTCTGGTGGAGTACACTTGGACACAACTGTCACCATGTGATGTTATATACAGGTGACCGGTCTGTGACACAGCCACATCACATGGATAGTTTAGTTTTATATCAAACTTATATTGTCCTTTATGTGTGAATACTTTTGTTCTGTTATTTACATAATCCGCAACAAACATGTGTTCCTTATCTACGGCTAGCCCAGTCATGCGTACTCCTCTATCATCTTCCAGTTGAGTACTGAAAGAATGCACACATTCTGTCTTCTCAAAGAAGACAAGGTTTGAAGCTGATCTTGGATTTTGTCCATGTTCAGCTAATGGAGGTTGTGTCTGTATTGTCACCTGTCCTGATCTTGGATTTACACCTCGTCTTGACTGCCCTAACATGGCTTCCATTCCGACAGTAGATCCTGTAATATTTCTGTCAGCGATTGCTAAACTTTGTGTTTACTTCTGGTGCTGCAGCTTGGAGATCACAGTAACATAAACACTTGCTTCATATACCTACAAGTCGGTCAGATCATATCTCTTTCTTTGTCAAATATGTTCAACATTATCCCACAATCTCCGTCTACTTCCTGGCTGTTGAAGAAAATGGCGCCTGTTTATCACATAGAGCACTGACTCGCTTAGGAGAAAGGCCAGGACAGGACACAGAATGGCGGCAACGGCATCACAGGCCACGAGAAACAAAACGGCATCACAGAGCAGTGGATAATAGATGACACAGCGAGTTCAGGTGCCAGTAGAATGTCAATTTTAAAACAGGTATCTGCAAGGAATAAGGATTGTTCTATAATAATAAGAATGAGAAGAAGAAGAATGAGAAGAAGAAGAAGAAGAATCATGGTATGACTCCGACATCTTAGTAATTACCAAAGGTCACAAGAATCATCACATAAAAAATTAAATATAATAATAATAATAATAATAATAATAATAATAATAATAAT